GCTAATTGCAGCACCTGGGCATGGAAGTGAGGGTGTTTTCTGAAAAATGAGCCTGAAGAATGTGAGAAGTTACTGCTTTCGCTGTCTTCTAGTAGTACTTCTTGGCTGGAGGTTGGTAACACACCAGAATGCCAAAGGAAGCGTATCCAAATAAAAGGGTCTGAATGAACCATTGAAACTGAGCAGATGAGTCGGTGATTCCTTTAGCTCTGCAACATTAGAAAAAGCATAGAGCGTGTCAAAAAAAAATTATGGTGTTGCACACTAGATTGTGATACAAAGTAAGGTTAGATATTTCTGGGCATCAGACTTAATTAGAACATTGGAACTTAGCATGATTAATTTCAATCTACTGTGATTTACTTCCTGTAGTAACTAAACATAGCAGTTCCTGTGATTTTGATGATTTTTAAAGCTACCTGTGGAACAAAGGTACTTTCAGAGACTTCATGCATAAATTTTCCTCAGTAAGATGTAAATTGCAATCTTAGTCTACGCTATTTGAAATAACTTATCCTAGAAGTTTATGTACAAAGAACCAAGAAACAGGAGTTGCTTAATCCTAATTTTAATGCACAAGTCTGTCTATGACTTGCTGACTACAATCACTGAAGGCTGACAGGGCAAAGAGGCCTGATAATTCCAGTGCAGTGCAGGACGGAGAGGCACTGTGACTTGAATTTGTGGCTAGAAAAATAGGTACAGGGGGCTGAAGACACCTCACTTGTTTTATGAAGCAAAGACCTTCCTATGTCAGTTAGGTTTAACTTAGCTTACATGAAGTTTTTCTGTATATTACAGAAAATGTCACCTTGCCCTCCATTTCGTGGCTGAATTTTCAGAGAAAAGAACGAGTATAAACATGATAGCAAACCCACACGATTTCACATTTCTAGTAAACAACTACTTCAGGCATAACTGTGCTCCCACTCCTCAGTTTACAAGGGAGCTCCCTCTACTGACCTTTGCTAGAACAGTTCAGCTGCTAATTGTTCCAAAGCCTCTTCACGTACAAAATTATCACATAGCAAGTGTTGATTAACACATTTCATAATGTTCATTCTTAAATCAACTTACCAGCTGTCAAAAACTTTTTTTTAATAATCCTAGCTACAGTATTTCCAAATGAGCACAGAAACTGGAAAAACTAAGGCTTAAAAAATTCACCTGCTCAAATACAGCAAGTTACTCAGACTGTATGTAGAAATGCAGGCCAACAGCAGCACTGCTGTTAACAAATTCCTACCTGCTTCCTTGCTAGTTCTTCCTCATGCCTCCTTTGCGGCGTTCATAACCAGTAATCGCTTTCACATCAGTGAAAAGTATATGGTGCTTGGTGTTCATGGTAAAGTGCACTTGTAATCTATAGAAGCGTGCCTGAAGAGATGATGATGGCTAGGCAATCTGTGCTCTCTCTCATGGGCTTTAGTGCTACTCAGTAAAATTTCCTTACTTGATTACAATACACCCACTTGGTACATTCGCTCGTAATCCAGTTGCCTCATACTTAAAAATCACCTTAAGCCTCTCTACCTATCTGCAGAATCAAAGTTTTGACTTCGAAGTTATGTAACTTAAAACTGGAGGCTGCTAAAAAAAAGTTACTAAATCCCATTCTGAAGGAAAAAAATGGTCATCCATATTCTATTATCTTGAGAGCCACCTTAAAAGCTTTCCATGGAAGAAAATCCCTTTGCCTCCAAGAGATGTTACCTGAGAAGCCTGTGACAAACAGCTGTGACCTGAACCAGAGGAGTGGAAACCCACCATTTTTACAATGGCAGCCAGACTGACCATCTACTCTGTAGAGCACAAAAACCAGTTTTGACGTTCTACTGAATTATCACAAACAAAAATCAAATGAACAGAAGGGTGATGTTTTGGCACAGCATACCTCTTCAAATAATTTGTTATCCTAACGTTAGACTTAGCTGGCCTTACTTTTATAGTCTCATTCATCAAAGTGTTTTATCCCATAAACCTGCAGATACACATAGGTCTTAAATAGCCCCAAATGGAAGTGTCCAATTATATTATCACAATATAGATGCAATCATCTTAGCAGGTAATCAGCAACCTCAAAATTCTGATGAGGTAAGATCTGATAAAGTTCGAACACCTGAAATTGTCAGACTATTTCTACACTGTCTCCTGCTCCCTCTGCTTCCTGAAGCACAACTTTACCCAGCGAGCAGGCAGCTTGGAGGCAGACAGACAAGCTCTGGCAAACCTTGCTGCTGCCAGTTCTGCAAGTTGCTACCCCTTGCTTTTGCCACTGGCAGAATTTGCAGCAACCTCTTGTGGAGGACAGCAAACTATCACTGCAGCAAGGACTTGACACGTATCCTCTGAGATAATACAGCTGCTGAGAACCACCAAGATCAGCCTGTATCTTAAGTCACTTGTATGAGAAATACTTTTCAGAGAATCTGTGTTGGGATGAGGGGAGGGAACAACTTACTCGCATAAGCTAATGCAGTAGAAGGCTTCTACTACGTGAATCAACAAGGATCCCCAGAACCTATGAAAAGAAAACATGGTTTATTTTGTAGAAAATTAAGGAGAGCTGTTGTATCCAAGATGCATCACATAGAGAATGTAAAACTAGAGCAGAAGTGACATCTCACTTTAACCTAGAAAGTGAGGCTTGTTTCTTATCTTAGGAAAAAACCCCTCATGCCTGGTGTTAAAACAACCTAAAGTCCACCAAGAAAGTTAGAGCTGCTGTAACTTCTACACTATGCCTGCACCTGCCATTTCAAGTACCTATCCATATCCAAAACTTTCAGCACTGAAATTAAGCCAAAAAGTATAATGCTTAGTGAAAACAGTCTAAGTTAACCTTAGTTAAATCTATCCTTCTACTGACACAAATATTTTTTGTGGTCGTAACAAGTTATGGGACGTTTTATAGATTTAGTTCTATGGAAACAACTGCGTGTACAGATTCAGGATACATAATATGACTTGACTGGTCAAAGATTTTTTATACAGAAGCTTTTCTTAAAGAATGTTACCCAGGAACCTTACCCAGTTAGGATTAGTTAAATACCTTGCTAAAGCAAAGGATGCTCTGAGCAAAGATGAAGGCTTATCTCCTACCTGACACATGGAAAAAAACCCACAAAAGTCTTGTTGTCTTCCTGTCTTTACAGAAAGTCAGCAAGTGAGAGATCTGGTTAGAGGAAAATGCTTTCCAGCTCTTTTGTTAATTAAAGTAACAAACCCTAAGCTTTGTTACTCTGCACTAGGCAAAACTTAGCGCTGTGCAGTTTCTTCAGCAGGTTATTTCTCACATGGACAGGATCAGGTTTAGTTAGTAGCAAGACACAAAATACTCTTTAAGTGAAGCTGGGGGACACACACTCTTAAATAGAAAATTAGACTACTTAAATAACAATTTGATAAAAGAACTACTTTAGAAGGTGTAACAAATATAAGTTTACATATGGACTAATAACTGTCTCCAAAAGTACCAGGTTAATTTTTTTTTCCTTTCTCCATGTAACACCACACATGCCAAATTCTAAGTTGAATTTTTACACTTTCATACTTATCTGTCTAGTCTTCTACATACTTATTACCCCATACCCTTTGTTGTAATGAGCTTGAAAGGAGAGCTCTTTAAATGTAATTAACAATGGGGTTACCAGAAAGCTTGTTAATATAGACTAAATAGTCAGAGAGAGGCAACAGGAGAGATGCAACTACACAGTCAAATATAACTTACGCGTAGGTTATCAACGTGTGGTAGTTTTTCACTGCGTAGAGAAGGAAGTCACCCACTGCTGGCATATAATTATAGGGTATAGTTGCAGGCGAAAGCACTAGCCACTTGGGGGGAAAAAAAATTAGTTTGCTTGCTTCAAGACAGAATTACTATCAACTTAGCCTTCAAATTACTTTTCTTTTCGGTCTCCTCCCCCATTTCTATCAAATGAAGTTTAGAGCTCATTTACTCATAATATGTCAACTCTTTCGCTCCATTAACCTTGCCAATACCCACATTCTTTAATACCAAGACCACCAGCCTTCTAAAAGCACGCTCTTAAGAAGATTCAAATGTATGAGATTTCTTTTCCTTGACACACAATACGCCCAAGGTAATAGGTTTAATGTTGCTATCTGTGTACCAAAAAGTGCATCCGCACATTAAGTGGCACTTAAATTGTAAGCTCATTAGCCATTACACATGGTAGCAGCCAAAAATACATTGCCTCTGTCCTGAAGAAGCTAATCTGATGCAACTGACCTGAAGAATTCAAACAATTACTAGACTGAGAGGAAGCAGTAACTACTTGTCTCTGACTAGGGGATCAGTCTTTCCTCTTTTGTCCCTTAAAAAAGGGAAATATCAGATTTGGTTCTGTTTTGAACGGGGCGAAGCCCAGGCCCCAATAAGCATGCAGGGTTCCCGGATCCCTCCTGTCACTGCGCTGCCCGCGCTACTCGCCGGGCTCTGGCTTCTGACAAGCCCTGCAGGAGGAGCGGGGAGCCCAGCGGGGGCGCCAGGGAAATGCTAAGCTGGGGCAAAGCTCACCCGGCTTAGCTTTCCTCCGGGATCAACGCTGTTGTTTTCCAAGGACGTAGAAAATGTCTAGAAAATCCGTGCAAATTTGAGAAGAACCACAGCCCGTGGAAGATGGACCTTCCTACACTTGTCCGACACATCAAAACTGTCGTTATTCTTCCCGCTCCGGCAATCCGACCTGTTTTACCTAGGCCCGTGTTTAGACACTAGGACGAGGTGCTAGCTGAACTAGTCCGACCT